AAGGCCACAAAACAGTAGAAGGCACATGTAGAATTCAGCCCCTCTCAGCAAGCCTCCCCCCAAAGCATATCACCTGTACTGCCCATTACCCTAGGATGAACAGTTGGACTTGGCAGATTCTACTAACACTACAAAAATAAAGCAAAGTTATTCACAAAACAACAGCAGCCACAATAGGAAATCCAAGTGCTACAGGTGACGGCATCTAGTTAGCATTTTCTCACACTTGTCAGAAACATTCTCCTTCCAGACAGGCAACTGAAGATACAGAAGCCCCCTTTTCTCACATTCCAAAAGCATGTACAATCTTTGGGACCTGCCACAAAATACTTCAGCTGTTCCACAGCCCCTCCCACCTTCACATCCTGCTCGTGGGTTTTCCAGAGACATCTCGTTGACCACTGTTGGAAACCACTGTTGGAAACGGCTGGATCATTGATCTAATCCTGCAGGCATCTTCTTATGCTCAGTTCAAGAATTAAATACTCTGCCAAGTCAGCTCTCTTAGCAAAATGCTTGGGCTTTCTTGTCATCTGAACGCCAGCTCAGATACAAAGATGAGAGACACATTAAGTAAATAAAAAGACCCAGTGCAATGACCCAACAGCAGAAATGCATTCTTTTATCTGGAAGAGGAAATAGGAAAGAGAAGTCTTGGATGATCAAAATGAGTGAACATTGGAAAGACTTTTGGAGCAGTCCATAGCAATAAAAGGTTGAAGGATAAGGGATGAGGCCACATTCTGTGAACCATATTACAGACGCACTGGTATATAGACAGGAGATTCGAGCCATGGGTGATAGCAAATGCTGTTAACGTGGACAGTAATAACTGTGCCTAGAGGTGACTACAGACCATCATCCACCATGGCTGCTACAACGTCTGAGGACACTGGTTAGCCACTCTGATTTAGGACAATACTGAGAACAAGGACCGGGTGGCGCTGGGTGAAAACCCCAGTCGCCTAGGCTTGCGAGAAGTCGCGTTGAATCCCCGGGCGGGTGGATCGTCTCCACGCCTGCCAGCTAGCAGTTCGAAGCACCTCCGGGTGCAATAGATAATAGGACCGCTTACCGCGGAGTAAATGGCGTTCCGCTGGCGGCTCGCCAGATGCAGCTTGTCACGCTGGCCATGTGACGGAAGTGTCCACACCTGCCCCCGCCTCTTGAGTGAATGGGCGCACAACCCTAGAGTTGTCAAGACTGCCGACGGGCAGGGTACCTTACCTTTCTTTACGCAGGAACTGAAGCCCTCACATCAGGCCCACCAGCAAAACCCCATCCATGTAGATCATGTGATCCTGATTCAAGCAGCAAGTTGCCTTCACAGTTAGCAAATCCTGCCTCATGTAACCCTGGGAACACCACTGTTAAGCACTCCCCTTTGGTGGCCAACTGGCTCGTCTTCAACTGGGAGTGGCTATTTTAGATCAAGAGCCAGCTTTACGGCAGAGCACCAGCCCCGAGTTAGTATGTACTGCAACTATTTAAATCCAGGGCACGATAATATGAAAATTGCCCAAATTATACACGAACGGCTGACAATTAGCATACAGCAGCATGTGTTGTGACAGTTGCATCACTGTTCAAAGCGAAGCACTTAAGACCGAAAATGCCGAATACAACAAACAGATACACAAGACCAAAGATCAATTCCCAGTCCCAAAAATACCCCTTTTCAGAAGGTCTGACAATGATCCAAGAAGCAGCATGGATCTATTTAAAGTAGGGATGGGGAGCCTTAGGGCCAGGGGAGAAACAAGACCCTCCAGATCTCTCCGTTCATAGAATGATAGCGTTGAAAGGGACCCCAAGGATCTTCTAATCCAACCTCATGCAACGCAGGAATCCATTCAGCTCTCAGGATTCGACCCATGTCATACCACCTGCCCCCCAGCCTTCCCTAGGCTGTGTCCATGCCCTCAAGTCATGGGTAGCTAAGAGGGGACAGGGAGGGGCAGCTGCCAACCCCATCAAGTAAATCAATACAAAATAACTACCGTATTTTTCTGTGTATAAGACTAGGTTTTTTCATCAAAACCTTCGGTTTAAAATTGGAGTTCGTCTTATACACGGGTAGTGTTGAGGGGTGTTTTCTTAATTTGGAGTCCCAAAAAATAGGGGATGTCTTATACATGGGAGAATCTTATACACAGAAAAATACGGTAACTGAGGTTCTCCCCCCCCCCAAAAAAAAACCACAAAACCTGATACCCCTCCAACATAATTCCTGGCTATCCTCATGCCTTGAGTACTTTGGCAGGCTAGGATGTGCCCTTTAACTCTGATAACACTTTGGTTACCTGAGTAGAGACATGGGGTAAAGACACGTCTGACTGTTGCATGGCTGGGAGCTGGAAAGGTAATAATCACCTCTGCTGCCCCGCCTCCTTCTGCCTCTGACCACGCCCATGGCTGGCATAGAGAGTTGGGGTGGAAAAGGTTCCCCTCTCCTGCTTAAAAGCATCTGGGAGATGATGGGGTGGAACTCACCTTGAAGGTGACTCAACCAGTCTTAATTCTGCTGCTCAAAAGGGTTCCCAGGTTTTAATTCAGTGCTACAATTAATATTGTGCTTAGTGTGTACATTCTGATTATTTTTATTCAGAAGCTTTCCAAGTGTGCTCTGGGAAGAGGAAATAAATCTGAAAGCGTTTCTTCTCAATATAAAATTTAACTGTATTTAACAGAGGAAAGACCAGATCCCCATAGCTATCCCTAGTCTTAAAGCTACGTAGCCCTTTTAGAACTCTCTCTCTCTCTCTCTCTCTCTCTCTCTCTCTCTCACACACACACACACACACACACACACACAGGAAGGAACACTGCAAGCTACTCGACTACTAACAATGAAATAACCGCTGACTAAAACACAACATTATGGCAACAGCAGCAGATTAAGAAGTTTCCTGTAGGAACTACTACAGGATATCCAAGAACAATTATATGGGATAATATGTTCTCTTTCATTTTAATCTGTCAGATCTTGCCTCTATTGAAGTTAATGGGAAAATTTCCACCAACATGCAAGAGTTCCCAGATTTCATCCTGTCTATTTTGGCAAGGGATATCAAACTGCAGCCCTAGAGACTCAAATATCTGTAAAATGGTCTAGTCTAATGCCAACCTTCCCATCACAGAGGGTGATACCCAATGTTAATCGGAGTATGGATCTGCTCTGTTAGAGCCACTGAAATCAATACGCTTAAGTCATTTGATTGGGTGGGTCTATTTCATGTGTGACTTAGCTGGATAACATCCAAAACTATTCATTACAAGGACTGTGGTGCTTACACAGATAGTCTTCTCTTGGTTTTACTTTGGTACTTCCATGCCTATATGTGTCATATGATTTTATTTACGGATTTTTTAAAAAAATATTTTAGTTTTATTTTATTTTATTATGTGAACATATACTGCATGAAACTAATACTTTCAAAGGCCACCCAATGGCCATTTACTGAAGGATGGACAAGAACGAATAACGTAATAGACACGCACCACCTTGAAAGTTGTTTTCTAGTACTTTATTAAGTCCTTACACACACACACACAATGTAATGTAGGCTTCCAAAAAAGCAAAACAAAATCTAACTACTTGATAAATAGCATACATATCGTCTTATGACATTATGTCACAATCACAGGAGGAGCACCAATGGTTGGTGCAGATGGTAGAGCTCACCATTAACTTTGCCATCAAACACCCCCACCCCAAATCTTTTGCTGGCACTACTCACCATTCAGCACTGAACATGCACATGCAAAGCTAACCAGACTACTTGCCCTTTCAGCATCAGTCCATCAGTAATCCATGGATTAGCAAAACAGACGTAAACACTGATACTTCATGTCATGTCAGTCCCATAGTAAATACTACAATGTATGGGGTGAAGTCCGCATCATGTTTCATGTTTATACTGCTAATGGGCTTTGATTTTATCAATGAATGAGAGGGAAGAGAGTTCTGTTTTTCTAAATGCTTGATAAAAACCAAGAATGCAATGTGGTGCGTGGGTTTTATGTTGCACTTCGGGGTGTTGCTTAATGGACAAGAGGAGAGAGATGAGGCTGTGGCAGAAACAACAGGCCGGATCCCACCAGATTAGAGCCGAACCTTCATCCAAGGGTGTGTCATCCATAGGTACTGGTGTGGAAGCAGAACAGATACCCAAGCTTCCTTCCTCCCTGTTCGGAGCCTCCAGCACTGATCAGCTGAGATTGCTTGTCCTCAGCCCTACCCATTCCCCTGGGTTGTGTAACCTAAGAGCTAAGGAAAGCAACGAAAGGGGGGGTGCTCTGTGTAGTTTTTAAAAATAAATAAAAGATAGGCTTAAGACACAGGCATATGAAGACATGCAGATGCTTTCCTCTTAAATGCTATTTGATGTGGTGTAAAAGGCACCACATCAAGAAGCATCATTCTACATATGGGAGATATACACACACATATATATAAATCGACGCCTACATACTCCATCTATGCAAATGCATATCTAGCCAGCCACATACATATCGGTTATATACAGATGGGTGCCCCCGCCTACACCGAAATGGGGCTTTAATCGAAGGAAGGCACCATTTATCAAGCGATTTCGCAAGAATGCTCCAGACCTCGCCGTGGTGAAGATTTCTTACTTTTCTTTTTTTTTTTAAATGAGGCTCTTACTCTGAACCGAGACTGCTAAAAAGCCACCATTCACACAACTGCAATGCAGCTTTTACTACCCCCACCGCGATTCCCACCCCCATCCCCCCAACCGCACGACCTCTGCCGTCCACAAAAGCGAGCCATCGGCAGCCAGGGCTTGCTCGGACAACGCAAGGGCTTTCACAATAAGATTAGCGGTGCATAATAAGATTTATAACAATGAAAATGGGAGGGCGGCAGGAGAGAAAGGAGGAGGGGAGGGAGGCTGGGGGAGGGGAGGAAAGGGAACCGGGTGAAAGTGAGGAGAGAGAGAGAGAGAGAGAGAGAGAGAGGTACAGCTTCCACTCACCTTTTACTTGAGTTTCATATTCTGCTATGATCTCTTTGTCTTTCTTGAACTTTGCTTGAGATGACATCTTCGGGAAGATCTACCAAGATCCCAAGGATTTTTTTTCCCCCACCCTCCTCTCCTCTTATCTTTTCTTTTAGGAGGAGCAGAAAGTCTCTCCCTCGGCTTGGTCTGCTCCGCCGGATCAGCTTTGCAGCCTTCTCCGTTTTTCACTTTGCTGCAAAGACAACACAGCTTCTCTTCTTCGCTCCCTTTCCCGGCATTTGCCTTCTGCGACCGGCGATCAAGCAGCAGCAGCTTCACAGCAGCTTCACAGAAGAAGAGGAAGAAGAAGAACCGGACAGATCCAATAATCTACAGCTATTGCCCTTGTACTAACAAGAGGAGTGAATGAAGCGCCGGGGGTGCGGGTGGGGGGAGAGAGGGAGGAGGAGGAGGAGGGTGTGTCACCTGCACCCAAGTAGCCTTCAAAGAGACGTTCTGTGTTGGAGAGGACGATTAAAAAAAAAGAAAGAAAAGGCGGCGATCCAATAAATCAATCAATAAATAAATACACAGCCAAGCCCTGGAAGCAGCTGAGGGGAGGGGAGGGGCAGATCAGAGAAGAAAAAGCAGCAGCAGCAGCACACGCAAAGGTTCCTCCTTCCTTAGCATGCAGGCAAACCCAGAGCAAGGAGGAGCGGCGTGAAAAGCTCTCTGGCTGTAATCCAAGGAAGGTCAGGTTGCAAACGGGGATCGCATCCCCGGCCTCCGCCTCGACCCACAGACACACACGCCCCCCCCCTTTCCAAGCAGGCTCGAGGCTCCCGATGCCGAACGGGGAAGGTGACAGGCGGCGAGGGGTGGGGATGGGGGGAAGCGAGCGCCCGAAGTTAGTTTGGCTGCTGAGAATGCATTGGCTCCGCTCTGCGGCGCCGGTGCACGGAGCTGCTTTTGACTGCGGGCTTGAATTAAGTTCGCTCCACGTCACGCACAGGCAAGGCCCCGCCTCCCGCATTTTGTAACAACGGGCACTTTGCAGCCTGCAGGGCGCTTCGGCTCACTGCAAGGGGCAGGGAAATCGGCAGCAGCCCCGCCAGCAAAGCAAAACAAACAAACAAAAACGTGCAAGCGGGGGGGGGGGAGATCTGCGGGAGCAGTCCTGTCTCACAGCAGCGCCTGGCTTCCCCTCCTGCGGAAATAAAAGATTTGGAGGGACGGGTAAATTCGAGGCAAATTGAGTCTAGAATGATTTACATTTTAAGGAATTGCCTTGATCTCACTATTTGACAGGATTATTTTTTTAGCACCGAGCAACGTAACAGTTTCCAAGTTAGCTTCGTGCAAAGTTTAGGGCGAGGGGAGGGAGGGCGAAATCAAATTCTGTGTTGCTTTGCCCTATAGGTGGTTCCAGGTAGGAAGCTGAGATCGCAAGCAGTCGTCAGCTTTTCCGGGTGCACGCTTGGCACGTTAGCTTCCACACTGCTTATTGCGGGCGGTTCTTGGCATTTTTTGCCCCGCCCCTCCATCCCTATTCTGGCAATGGGTGCCCACTATTGGCGCTGTAAGTTATTGACAATGCAGCAGATCCACAGTGTGGACGTGGGCATGCTTGCTGAGAAGTAAGCCCTGCAAAGTTTAGTGGGTCTTCCTTATTTCCTGTGTTTCCTGACCAATCTCGTGCCAGAGGGTGTCGAAGAAATGCCTGATTTTGCGGAGCGAGGGGCTGCTGGGCCTTCGGCGTACCTCAGCTGGATGGATCTGGCCTGTGAAGCACAAGTTTACCACCCCTGGTAAATAGGCTAAAGAATGCAAAAAGGGTCGTGCTGGATCTAGCCAAAGACCCATTTGATCTCACAGGAAGCCCACAAGCAGAATTGCTGTCTTACGGTATAATCCTCAAAGTAAGCACCAGTGAATACAGTGCCACTTACCTCCATGTGAATAAAATTGCAGCCTTGCTTGCTATACCTATACAGTGGTACCTCAGGTTAAGTACTTAATTCGTTCCGGAGGTCCGCTCTTAACCTGAAACTATTCTTAACCTGAAGCACCACTTTAGCTAATGGGGCCTCCCGCTGCTGCCGCGCCGCCACCGCACGATTTCTGTTCTCATCCTGAAGCAAAGTTCTTAACCCGAGGTACTATTTCTTGTGAGCGGAGTCTGTAACCTGAAGCGTATGTAACCTGAAGCGTATGTAACCTGAGGTACCACTGTATTGCACACAGAAAACTGAAGTTAAGAAACTGGGTGCTTCCAGACTATTGATATTTTGGGGTGGGATTTAATCACATACTGGTAAATAATGAGGTTTTGCAATTATACTCGATTAGAAGGTCTTGCACAGCAAAACCACTTCCCCAACAGGCTTTTGGTAATAAAGTGATGGGAAAACACACTGGAAAATGGGGGAATAACACTTGTTCGGACCCAATGTAATCTAGTCTCCCCTCAAATAAATCAGGAAGAATGCTCATTAAGCTGGGCATCTGGAAGCACCCAGTGAATTACTTCAGGCCATATAATGAGTCCAAGGAAGAAGTGTCATTTGAACCCAGATGCAAGGGCAACCCTCTCTCCACTGGGACTACACGCTTTCAGAAATTAACCATGTGTGAACTCTTGTGCTTCCACAGTGATACACAGAAGTGAATCTCACTGTGTTTGATGGAATTTACTCCCTGCATAGGATTGCAGCCATGAGGGCCTTTGCGTACACACCATACATTTAAAGTGCATTCACACTCTAAATGATCCTGGGTACAGTGGTACCTCAGATTACGAACAGTCCTGCTTATGAAAGCTTCAGGTTACTCCACAAACCCGGAAGTCGGTGTCCTGGGTTGTGAACTTTGCCCCGGGATACGAGCACAATCCGTTTTGAGGGCCGCGGGAGGCCTATGTAGGGAAGGCGCGCCTTGGGTTAAGAACGCTTCAGGTTAAGGACAGAGACTTCTGGAACGAATTAAATTCATAACCCGAGGTACCACTGTATTGTAGTTTACCCCTCAAAGAGCTACAATTCCCAGGTCTCTTTAAAAACCACAGTTCTCAGGATTCTTGGGAGAAGTCATGTGCTTTAAATGTGCCTTAAATGTACAGCTATTTAGTTCTTCCAACTACCCCAGGGCAATTTATTTCTGCACTGTTACGATTTACACTTATTTATGCTGTCAGGATAAGTGAAATCATTTTAAGGCACTTTAAATTCAAAAGTGCAATGGAAATTCTGAATAATTATTAAAGATTTAAAAATATTAAGCAAACAGTGAAGCACATACGAATGATCATTTGATTTTAAAGGAAAACTTATGCACACTTAACTCTTTTGGATGGTATCCAACATGTGAAATGTATTCCAGGAAGGCAGACAGGCAGACATGCATTTATAAGCTATCCATTGCTACTGTGTTTGTTTGCATTTGTGGTCATTTTGAATTACAATGCCATCTTCCTCCTTCCACCTCCATCCTCACTATAATGTATGCTGAATATTTAATTATTACAAAGAGCAGGAAAGTGATGTTGCTTCATAAAAACTAAGCCAGACATGGAAAATCATGGACCCTGAATATAATAACCAAATGTGTACAGGTGAAAGAGTCTGATCACATATTGCAGTCTACTCTGGAGTAATGTATTCTGTGTCTTCATATGTTTAATAGGAAAAGTTAATTACATTTCTTAATTAAAATAACAAAAAGGGGATAATAAAACATCACCCACCACAAATGTTGTAATGAATTTGTGCCCATTACTGCCCATGTCCAAAGCCCACCCTTTTAAAAACATGCTGAAGGTATCTACAGCTGTGGTGACTGCACAACTCTTCTGTTTCTCTTAGAAGTATTTATGCAGCCTGAGAAAAGATGGAAGGACCACAGGGAACATACAGGTTCACAATGATAGGAAAACAGTGCTGTGTGGATGCACTGTATCGAGTGAAGGAAGTGTGGCAATCCCACATTTAACACGTAGTGTGGAAGCACCCTTAATGTTGGGTGAACTTCAAATCAACTCAGCAGTTATGAGCTTTCATGGTGAGTGTCCAGGGGGGAAAAGATATTCTTTTATTTGAAGTATTTTTACCCTACTCTTTTTTAAAAAAAGGCTTCCAGAGCAGTCTACAATAATATAAAAAAGTTGCTTTTCTCAGCTTACAACAGAATACACATCTAATCTATTTGAGGATGATGGTCTGCTGAAGCCTTTTGCTTCTTTTGCAGGGACAGGAGTCATCCCTCTCACCAGATTGTCCCTGCCTGTGGCTGGTGAGGGTTGGGTTCTTTAATTCCTCTCAATAACCTGCACTGCTAAGAAATTTGGCTACTTGCTTAATAATTAAAAATTGTACCCCTCCACCCAATGAAATGATAGACAAGAGACTCAGGAGACTGCCCTGGAAGGGACTGTGTAATAACAGTGTTATGTCACACTGTATATCAGTGTTTCCTGATATAAACTGCTTTTAAAAAGAAAAATTGACACTGACTCCACCTCTTAGTTATTACAAGGGCAGTATCTGTCATTTACAGGAATTGTGTTATATGCACCCTTTTGAAATTTTTGAAGGTAAGGCATTAAGGTGTGGCAGAGAAAAAGCTTTCCTGTATTTGGGAATATATCAAAGCCAGGCAGCTTAAAAAATTAGAGTAGCTTCCAAATTAAGAACAAGTAGCACCATCAGCACATTTAGGCATAGACTTTGAATAAGAAAATGAGATGGAAGGTGGTTGGGAGGGGGGGAAACAAACCCAGAAACTTTTCTGTTTTTTAAAGGTTCTCGTCCAGCTTGCAATTCTGGCATGAGCACATTCATTTCACCTTATCATACTGCTCGCTGGGAAATGTAGTTCTCAGCACCAGCTTTGGCAGAGAGATGCTTGGAAAATCAGCTCCACACAAACACAGCACACCGCCAACAAAAACAAACATAGGCAGGACTTGAAGAGGGTTTAACATGTAGATAGGAAATAAAAAAATGTGTATAAGGAAGAACTGAAAGAACTAACCACAACAGTGAACATATGCACCAGACAAAAAGGCTGTTTAGTTGAGTGGTCTGATCACGTAGTTCACAACAATAAATAAGAGTTTCATCGAGAATGGTAAGCATGAAGGAACTTTGTAGTTCTACAAAGGAGCTGACTTTGTAGTTCATTCATATAGTTTCATAGCAATCAAAGATAGTTTCAGTGAGAACAAGGGGTTTAGTATTAAATAACTTTTGTCCATGCTCTTACAATACAGCTGGCTTTGACGTTCACATAGTTTCACAGCAAAGAGGCTGTGTACAGATTACTGTTTACTATGGCTCCAATCTGCTCCCATCAGTGGCATTTGAAGCCAAAACACACATGACATTAGCTACAATCCATTTGTAGCCTGCAGTTTCTTGAGAAATACTCCTGTTTGATGCATTTGCCCACTAACCAGCTTTCATCCAATGTGAAAACAAGCCGTGTGACTCAGCTACATTCATCACAATAATACATTTTGAATGCATTATAAAACATGCAATGTCAGGTGGCGTCAGAGAGCAAAAAGGAATTTATATTATATTTTTACATAGGCTTTTTTGGGGGGGGTAACGATTTAATTTCTGACTTACTTATAGCGTTTTTAACCTGTGCCTAGATTCACCAATGGTTAAGATGAAGTGTGTACATTTGAGACAGCCATCACACATGAGTAGATGACAGTTTCACTGAGCCTTCAAGAGGTTGCAGACACACGGAAACAAATTAGGTAGTACGTATTGGGTGAAGACATCCCTGTTCCATTGCTGGTGTGTATAGCGATGTAAAAAATGCAGTTTGAAATGTAGCAGGAGGAAAGAACCTTGCAGCATTTTAAGTCACTGACGTGTACATAGCCTCAGTAAGAGCAAGGGAGTTTCCATTTAATAAAATGTTGCACATACATCTACAGATCAACTGGCTAGGCAAGTGATGTGAT